CCCCCCCGGCTTCTTTGAAGCAGTTTCTTCCTGGGCTGGTGGAGGAGCGAGAAAGCGACTGAGAGAGCTGAGCCAGAGAGCAGGACAGGCTTCGGTTGCTTCCTCCCTCCCCTTCTTTCATTTGTGTCCTTGATCCCCGATCCCAGCAGCATTCACCGAAGGCGAAGCCGCCATTTTTTTTTATTTTTTTTTATTTGCGGCCCGGTAAAGAGTGCTCCACGGCCCGGTACCGGTCCGCGGCCCGGTGGTTGGGGACCCCTGCATTACAAAGTGTTAACAATTATTACAACCCCTTTTCTTCTTTTTCTTTTATCCCCATCTGTGTTAGTTATTTTTGCCATTTTTGCTTTTGTTTTATGTTGCTTTTCTCCCTACCATTATGAAAACTGCCCAAAGTTGGGCAACATAACAAACAAATAAATACTAAATATATTTGCAATAACACCACTAAAAGTGTTGTGGTAAAGCCTGGTGTGAGCAAGGCACAGATTCAGATGAAGTATTATAACTATTCTTTGAATCTTCAGTTCATCATTGATTTACTTACAGCACAATCTAGCATGACATTCATGTATCAGGAAAAAGTTAGCCATGTATTTTAAAGAAAAGAAAAATCAGAAGTGATGGATGGTCAGCCACCATAAAGATGATTATGATACTGTCCTAACTGGAAACTTATCAATTATTATCATGATCAGCAGCTGATCATAACTGGATAAGCTACCTGAAGCTTAACAGATGAAGATGATTTACTGATATATAGCAGGAAAGTAGTCTCACTTTTTCACTGAAATCAATATTTGCCTGCTTCTCGAGATTTTCACCCTTCTGCCCTTTCTACCTGAGTTCCACAGTACTTGGATTTGAGTATCCCCTCATGAAAATGTCCTATCTGATCAAGTGTTTTACTTGCTACTATGTATTCTTGAATGGAATGATGCTACCTCACCTGGGGGGGGGGGGGGTGGAATAGGAAAATTCAGAGCATAATCAGAAAACTCACAAATCCACATATTTAAGATGTTAAATAGCTAAATCAAATTTTCCCATGTTCAATGAAGTTTAAATAAAGGAAGACCATATGTACTATTCTTAAATACAGAAAATATTCTAGACACAACTCCAGAGCATACCAACACAGGTTCATATATTGTTACACAACATTCAATATTATCCACGTTTCCTAGTCCATAAATGAGCAACCGCACAATTTTTCAGAGCTTTTGCAAGAGAACCTGCATACATATGGAAAATAAAATCTCAGCTATTTACAAGCCTCAAGCATATTTGCTAATTAAAATGACTGACAACCTTTATCTCACTCCTTATTCCCCTTAAATACAATGGTACTATGGGGCACTAAATTAACATATACAGATGTTAATTGTATCTAAATCTAAGTGCTATTTCTCTCTCTACCCAATACTTTTAATGTATTAAAAATATTGAAAAACCAGTTCTGATTTATGCAAATCCCGAAGCAAATGGGTTACAATAGAAATTTATAAAATAATAAAATCAATGGCTGCAAATACTAATATTAATCTTGAAAAATGTTTATACAGCAGTTGAATCACAGCTATAAGTTCAATCAACCTGCCCAAAAGAGGAATATTAAAATTAATAATTAGTAGTAATTCTAAACTTGTGGATCTAGTGTGTGTTTTCCTTTTGTATAAAAGTCATCTCCCCTTACTCCTGACGACTTCAAATGAAGTATAATGGGCAAGGGTCAAATCTGCAACAAAATTATGTAGAAATATTTTGTGCATTTGTTCCAGAAAGCACTTGAGAGTTGCAGATTTTTTTTCTGTTTTCCAGAGTAGATGACAACAAAAGCTGCATTGGACAAATACTGAACATGTACTAAGGGAGCAAAATACTGTAACATTTCTTTGCTATACTCGCTCCTGTGGGAGGGAATAACTGTGAACCCTTGCTATTTGTCTGATTTTCCTCTGTAGAGAAATTAAGTACCTTGACAAAGAGGTTACCACAAACTACCCTAACTACAGATAAAGTTCCCTGAGAACTGAATTTGAGGCTATTCCTACCTGACTCTGCCGCACATACAGAAGTTTTGAAGTTTAACAATCTAACTCTAAGTCAGTTATAGTCCACTTTCAACATAATCCTCTTTTTTTCATAAAACATAGCATAGGGAACCACTGTTACAACTTACTCTATCA